CCCAACACGTAGCCACTCCTACAAGTGGGTAAGGCCTCCCATGGGAATCAACAAAACATGGCAGATCAATTTGAGACAAGAACAAACTTTTTCCCCCTGCATCAAGGCAGAGACAGGCATCACACCGCAGGAAATAGGTTCCAAAGAGCCAGCTCATGCACCAGGGACAGATCTTGGTCACATTGTTAGGTGGCCCAGAAACAGACCAAGGTACATAACTTTCACCCACAAGCAGGGTGCCTAGTTCAATTCCATGCAGGCTCCCGAGCTGTCAGTCTAGAGTCCCTGAGCTCAGTTCATCTGTCTCTGTGGGTTTCTCCTTCATGATCTTGACTCCCTTTGCTTATATAATCTCTCCTCCCTCTCTTCGACTGAATTCCCAGAGCTCAGGCCAGTGCGTGGTTGTGGATCTCTGCAACTGCTTTCACCAGTTGCTGGATGGTGGTTCTGTGATAACAATTAGGGTAGTCAACTGTCTGATTACAGGAGAAAGCCAGTTCAGGCACCCTCTCCACTGTGGATAGGAGTCTTAGTTGGGGTCACACTTGTGGATTCCCAGATGTTATTCTGGCACCGGGTTTCTTCCTCACCCCACAGTGGCACCCTCTGTTTAGATATCTCCCTCTCCATCCCTCCCCCAACTCAGTCATCCTAATCCCACATGTTCCCATCTCCATCTCCACTCCTCTAATTCCCCCACCTCCAGTTTACCCATGAGATCTCATCCATTTCCCCTTCACATGGAAGTCAATGTGTCCCTCTTAGGGACCTCCTTGTTACCTACATTCTCTGAGGGCTGTAGATTATCCTTTGCTTTACATCTACTATCAACCTATGAGTGAGTATATACCATGTTTGTCTTTCTGGGTCTGAGTTACCCCACTCAGGAAGATTATTTCTTGTTCCATCCATGTGCTGGCAAACTTCATGATGTCATTGTTTTTTACCACTGAAAAATACTTAATTGTTTAAATGTATCACATTTTCTTTATTCATTCTTTGGTTCGGGGCATCTAGGTCGTTCCCTTAAAGGTTTTTTTTTGCATTTAATTGTATATCTATACACATATGACTGTTTTGAGACATGCATGTAATTGCACGCTTAAGGCTTTCCTGTAGAGATCAAATGCCAGAGTTGGTTCTCTCCTCCAATAGTGAGAGTCTCAAGGATTATAGTCAATTTATTAGGCTTAGAAACAAATGTCTTTATGTTTTGAAGTATATGACTATCACCACAAAATTATTGTCAAACAGTTGAGTTAACTGAACTTTCAAAGCAATTCCGACAATGCTCATATTGAAGGTGTCACTCCTAAGTAGGCTCATATGCCTTCAGTCACTAGCAGGCAAACTATATTCCTGCTTTTATTCAGGTAATTTTCCACTTTCTTATGAGTCTATTTCTAAACTCCCATTGTTTCATTGTGTTTTTGTGTCCATTCTACCTAAATCTGTTTTGCCTGTAAATGATTTTCATGAAGAAAGGGCATCTCTGCTTATTACTGGGCATTTTGGAAAGCTGTGTGCAAGGAGACAGTTCTGTTGTAAAGTCACATTTAGAAGAACTTAGAAAAATTTCAGGTTTCAGCAGTGACTAAAATGGAATATTCTTTTACATATTAGAAGTAGATATTTAAAATTATTCGACTTTAAAATATTTTCATTCTTCTTTGAGAAATGCACAAAAATTATTTCATTATAATTCCTCCTTATTATATTTTCATGAATCTCTTCCATGTTTTACCTGGCAAATTCATGTTCTGTGTCCTTCTAAAAAATGGGGAAAGAAAATAACACATTACAACATATTATTTAATATATCTAGAGAAGCTAGTCCTAAGAGTGAGACTAATCCAAAATTTGTTATATACTCAGTGTCACAATATTAAGGAAAAAAAGAAAATATCTTGATTTTCTTATTCTTCTCCTAAAACAGTGGTTCTCAACCTGTGGGTAATGGTCCCTTTGGGTGTAGAATGACTCTTTTAGAAATTTTAAATGATGTGAGGGATTGTAGGGCAGGACAGAAAAACAAATATAGGTAGAAATAAGTTAATACTAAAGGCTTTCAGAAAAAGTAATGTGAAAATTTTTACTATAGTAGTTTCCTAAAATATAAGCATATGCTTACATTTTTAAAAAGCTCAATGGAATTATCCTACAGTGGGACAACAATATCTATATTAGACACCACAGGATAACAAGTAAATGCACCTTGTTAGGATTGGGTCACTTCTATCAAAATTGTTGGCCAATGAGAGCCTCATAGACTGTCAAACAATACAGGTTATTGCTATTGCTCTAGGTTACCCTCCAGAACACGATATTTAAACCCTATCACTGAAGACTCTGCTATACTGAGCCATAGTAAATCCTTGTGAGTATGTTGGTTTATGATCTATTAATCTAAAAATGTTTATAGTAATTCTGGCAAATAGCATAATAAAATACAAGAAAAGAAAGTTCATGAATATTTACACCAAGCATTATTTATCTCACTGTCTTCTTCTGGATTTTTCATCACTCAGTTATTTTAGCCTTCAGTTTCTTGGCCTCTTTTAATCTTTGCTTCTTTTATCCTAGAGTTGTACTAGTGATATTTCTGCTATCCTGTTTCTTTCCTTTTAGCCAAGCTGACTTTCTTACAAAAACTTTTTTGTATAACTACTCCATGATATCTCAAATTTTTCCTGGACTCAGTCCTTGTCTACCAACTTAAACGGTCCACAAACCCCAAAACTGGATTATTTTATTTTACTTTCCACATCTAAAGTATTTCTTTCGGTCTCCAAAATGCCTTCAATACCTACATTGACATCCATCATTCTTTACTGCATAACAATGATTTTTTTCCTGCCGAAATTATGAATCCTCTATTAAAAACCAGGCTTTTCCTGGGATTACCCTGGAGTGATGTGTATATCATAATATCATAGGAGATTACTAGTACCCATTTAGAAGAAACATGATTTATAGTTATTTACTACTTCTCTAAAGTGCTGTATATGTGATTACCTCAGAGTTTTGTACATAATCAGAATAGTTATATCATAGAATATTCAAGAAGAATTGTTAGATGTGGAATCTTCCTATTTGTCAGTATTCTATCATGCTTTCAAGTGTCCAGCTCTGAACCATCCGCATCTTGAAACTCTGCTTTCATATTCTCATCTTCATTTACCACTGAAATTATACTGATTTATTTTGACTGAGTGCATCAGCCATTATATTGATCTTAGTATAACATTTATTTATTTAGAAATTTATTTCACACAGCCATCTTTGTGTGAAAGTGAGTAACTGCTATTTCTTCCCAAATATCTTTTCTGCTTTCCCTTTGGTATCCCTACATATTATGCTTTCTCTTAATCCTGCCTGAAAACTTCAGACTCCAATTTGAATATCACCACTGAGAAACATGTCACCACGTCCTCTCGCCTGTTGCACTGTGTCTATAAATGTGGGAAAGACTTGTTTGTTTTATATTTTTTGTTGGTTTTTTGAGACAGGGTTTCTCTGTGTAGCTTTGGAGCCTATCCTGGAACTCACTCTGTAGCCCAGGCTGGCCTCGAACTCACAGAGATCTGCCTGGCTCTGCCTCCCAAGTGCTGGGATTAAAGGCGTGTGCCACCACCGCCTGTTGTTTTATATTTTCATTTTTAAAGTAGTAAAATAGTCTCAAATTCTGAGCTACATAAATGGGAAATTCAGGTTCTTTTCT